TTGAAGATTATGTGGGAAGTTCTTCCGTCAAACTGGCCGAAAATGCGCCTCGATGTTACCAGTGCAAGGTTTGCTTGAAAGGCATTTCTGTCACAGTTAGCATGGGACTTCAAATCCTAGAGTACCGACACTCCTAAATCTTTTTCGAGGTGAATGACGTCAACCTTTCCCTTGCTATCAAGGATGTTTTTCCACCTGTTCACTGCAGTCAGCAAGTTGGTTATACAATGATAACCCTTATTAAAACCATGCTGCTGGAGTGAGAAGTTTAAGGATGATTAGTAGTCGTGTAAACCACCGCATACCAAAGACCCCATAATTTTTGAAGGTATGGAGAGAAGAGCCATCGGTTGGTAGCTTGGGAGTTTGCTGCGTCGACCTCCTTTGAAAAATGGTGTGATGTGGGCCAGCTTTCGAATTTCCGGCAGTTTGCTTGTACTTAGCGAGTGTGAGAACATCACGCTGAGCGATGTTGCCAGGATTGTAGCTGCTTCCTTTAGTATAACAGAATTAACCATATCCAGGCCAGAAGTGTCTTTTCTTAGGTACTACAGTTTCGGGTGTGGATCGGCTGGAATGTCTGAGAGTATTGTTCAGTCAAAAGGTTAGAGGCATCACTGTCGCTATTGATCGGTTCATTATGAACTTACAGTTGGGAAACTCCAGTTTTGCGTTGTCGAAGAGAAGCTGCGTAACGGAATAAGCTTTTCGGATTGGAGACAAATTTATCGGTAAGCTTGGTCTGGAACTGAAGCCTGTCTTCTCTTATTGCCTTTGAGCATATGTTCCTTATATGTTTGTATTACCTGTATGCGTCGTTATTGTTAGTTCGTTTATATTCAGCCGAACAGTGCTTTTTGCGGCTTAGCAAACGACGAGCGAGGCTCTTGATGATTGGAGGTTGTTTGAAGCTTTTTGGGACCATTTGAGGAACTGATTACTCAGTAGCACATAACAGCGTGTGCAGTAAGAAATCCCAATGAACATCCACTTCAAGTTGAGGGTGAAAATCCTAATTCACTTGTTGCAGATAGTCCTGTAAAGTTAACAAATCCCACCGTTTGAAATTACAGCATCTGTTGTTGGTTGGATATCTTAGCTCAGTTTTGCTGACAAAACTGAAGGCTATAATTGAGTCATCGATTTTCCCCAGGGGAGCTGGAGTTGAGGGGTTGTCGACTAGGAATTTTTCGTTTGTAAATGCCCAGTCTAAGCACGACGGCGTCTGACTGTTTCTCCAACGAGTTCATATTTTGGAATAATCCCGGATCCTCAATGAGGTTGAAGAATCGAGCTTCGGTTGAGTTTTCACTTCCAATATACATATGTTCCGTGAAGTTGACTCTAGGAAGATTTAAGTCCCCTAAAATCAGTATATAAGTGAATCTGAGACTAGTGGAACGTGACAATCCCTCCAGCATACGATTGTCACACTCGATTTTACCAGTAGACTTCCTGTAGATGAATCCAACTAGACACCTCGAGGTGGTAGATAATCTTACTGAGCACAATACGGATTCATCAAGATTGAGAAACTCTTGTTTGTGATGTTGGTGTACCTCCAGGAATGAAAGTACATATAAGGGTACTGCACCCCCCATTCCTGTTGTTCTGTCTTTGAGAAACAAAGACATCCCAGGAATTGCTAGCTCCTGGTGCTCAAACTGAGAAGATACCCAACTTTCAGATATTCCTATCAGATGAGCATTATTGGCATTGGTAATTTCACATAGCTCATCCATTTTATTTGGTAAAAGTGCGGCGTTCATGTATAAGTAGTTGGCATGAAATGCTTCCAGAGTTGCACATGTCATATGAGAGGATGGGAAAGTTATCTTCGTTAGCCAGGGTCCAGAATTTCCGTCCTTCTTGGCTAGTCTCGTCACCGTTGAGTCAGTACGTTTTTGAGCTTCAAGGATTGTTTAATGAATTTCCATTACCTAATATCAGAGTTTGTTTGACCAAGGTTCGTGTTTTCCGGCACACATTACACAATGATATTTCTTTCGCGGGAAAACTCGCGAGATTCTTCAGGGACGTTTCGGATGAGATTGCACTGAGAATACAATATGGAAGGCAGTGTTCTTACGTTCCCATCGGATTTCAGTAAGTGACTAGCTAGCAGGACATCCTCTAGGTCGGTAGCATTAGTGAGTGTTACACGAGGTAGTCTAGGTTGATTTTGATGCTTAGAGTCCTTTCCCCGAGTGAACCGTGTGACCGTCAAAGACTCTATTCTAGGAAGTTCAAGTTCCCGTGTAACTCGCGTAGGCCCCTAATAATTCGACACCAGCCATTTAGGTCCATAATCTATCAATATGTCTAAATATGTCACGGATGTTCAGGGCTTTACGACGATTTTGTCCTCAACAGCTTAGTCATCGTAAGACCAAAACACAGTCAAAAAAGTAATAATTGAAGGAGTTTGAAGATATATTTAGAAGGTATTCGGTATGTTGGAAATCATGTTATCTAAGTGTGCTAGTTGTTATAATGAATGCGTAGCACAGTGTACTCAATGGTGGTCTGGTGTAGATGAATGACCCAACACTTTTAGCTAGAATGTGTCCAGTAAAACTAGTGAGGTCAACATCAATGTGGAAGACTTAAAGAACTATTTATTTCACTGCTACAGCGAGTATGTTTAAACGAGCACCTTTATTTAGTTGGTGTCCAATAAAAATCCAGTGTAAAATATTGGAAAACTATTAGTTTTAAAGATTTGTATCACCCCTGAGACATTTTTACTTAACAACAATCAGACAAGAACAGAGAAAGTCTGTAGTGGCTTAGCTTCGTTAATCAAACACCTTGATAACCGTTATAAATCCCAACGGTGTTGGAAATCAGAAGGCAATAGGAAGCGACGACTACAGTTTATTTACGGAGAGCAGAAACAACAAAGTTACAAGCACAACGAGCAAATCTGAAACAGATAGGAGAATGTGTGTATGCAAGCAGGTGCAGAAGCAAATTTATGGTCAAGTCGAATGAAGGAGCTGTTAGGCAAGGCAAAAGCTAATAATAGGATTTGATTTCATATATACCTAGGGAAGAGAATGAGTCATCGAGCGATATTTGAGCTATCAACATTTAAGCTAGAGAGATGTGGGTAGGCTGTGACGTCATCAGTCCTACGCGTTTATGCGGATATGATGGTTGTCAATAATAGTACAAACAAATATACGAATTGTTGCTGTTCGAACAACGTTGTCTATTAAGCGAATTAATAAAAAGACGTTACAAAAATTAACCACAATCTAAATTGTTCGTAGAAGAGTTGTTACAAGTCAAGGTATGAGTTAATCACACAGAAACAAACAAGAAAGTGACGAAGAGCATTGAAGCCGACAAGCAGAAAAGATTCTATAAAGATCGGTCGAGCTTACGCAAAATCGCATCACTACGGATCATCGGCGAACGGTCAGCTGAGTGGAACTTTTCACAATACACCAACTTTCTTGACTAGGAGAAAGCATTTGTTAATATGGTTAGGAGACCCATATGGAGCCTTCTCCGACACTATGGAGTACCTGAGAAAATCGTCAACATCATTGGAACTCATACGACGGACTGCACTGCAAGGTGGTGCTTGTCGGAAAGCTGACAGACGCATTTCAAGTGAGGACTGGTGGATTATGAAGGTCTCCATATCTGAGGTGAGGCACAGAACAACGGATAGCCTTGTAGACCATCTACGTTGATGATCTATGTCGAAATGATTGGGGGCCTACTATAGTTAGACGAGAATGGGGACGAACCAACTAACGCTGAAGTCACACCTCGCGACCAGCCCTTACGTGGATTGAACCATCGACGCATCAAAGAATAATAGATGCTATGGAGACTGTACAACACAAAGGACGTTATTACAAGAATATATTAGTTAAGGTACAACTACGGAAGTACATAAGTGAAAGAATGACCACTGCCGCGTGGGCCAGTCCATGGCGTACGATTGGTTTGTGCGCGTTGACTATCCTTGACCTTGACAGGGATCAGTGATCTGTTCGATATTCAGTGACCCTACAGCTTGTATGCAACTAGATTACTCAGACTTTGAAGACGACCTAGATGTTCTATCCCACACACATAAACAAGTGCAGGTCGAGACCCACAACTTAGCAGGATCTTCTTCTTCTTCATTAGGCCTCAACATCCACGATGGAAAAGACAAGATCATGAAATATAAGACACAAAATACCAACCTAGTCACACTTGATTGAGAATTTCTGGATGTGGTCGAAACTTTCACATATCTGAGTAGCACCAGCGATGAACAAGGAGGATCTGATGCAAATATGAAGACAAAGATTGGCAAACCATGGGCAGCGTTCCTGCAGTTGAAGAATATATGGAACTCGAAACAATTGTCCACCAATATCGAAGTCAGAATCTTCAATACCAACGTCAAGACAGTTCTATTTTACGGAGCTAAACATTGGAGAACTACTACAACAATCATTACTATTCAATGAGAAGCAACTCACCATGTACAAGGTGGCCTGGGAGATCACACTCTGTTTCAGTACACATTAAGATCTTATCTGATTTTGATGTATAGAATTTGAGGAAATGATTTTGGGCTTGATATACCTTCTCTTTTGATTCCAGTTAAAGAAGAATAACTCAGAGGAGAAGTAGGAGTGCTTAAAAAATGTTCATGACATTCAGAATTTCAAACCGTGACAGCAACTCTTAAAACCGACTAACGGAAGAAGTGATGTTCACACTTCAAATTGTTTTATTCATAAGGAGAATTAACAATCATAGAAGCTCACTAGAAAAGAATTTAAACGGCCCGTCAACCTTAATTCCTCAATGAATACATTTGAATCTCTCTGAAATCAGAGATGTGCTAAATCACAATCCTAAATAGCAGTATAGCATTAATTCATACTGATAAAGATCTGTTTCCAATATAACTCACAGTATAATTGACGGACATACATTTTTGTGAAATCGTAGATGATCATGATCACAAACTGTGTTTAATCTACCCCTACAGCTGAGCACGTGGGAAATTTGTCCGCGCGAAATATGTCGAATACGCCCCAGGTAGTTTATTGTTTGCTGAATAATTCACTTTCACATTATGCTGTAAGTTTTTAATACAGGAAACTAGGGGTCTCTTATGGGACGAAATGTCATGGGAAAGAGTTATGAAGTAGGTTTTGTAAGTTAAGTAAACGGTAATCGAGCCGATGATGCGTAAATACATTTGTGATCAATAAACATCCCACAATTAAGCTGCATTCATCATATTAAGGTGTACCAACGAAAGTAACTGTTAGCTGTTTGGATCTGGTATAACTACATGCTTTCTTAGTTCACTGATCTTTCGGTCGTATTCATAACTTTAACACAAGATGTCTTCACTTCAGATTACTTAAATTTGAAAAAAATGGGGACTCGGTTACAATCATTTTGACCACGAGGGTAATGATAATATGAGGAATGGGTTACTATTCAAAATTCATAAATAAACTTGTATACTAGTAGTATCTTGTGTTCTCGTTCTATGTAATTAACGTTTCTTAGTACCACTTTAATCAATAGAAGCTCCATTAGCCTCCTACCAAACTAGCGTAGGTGACTCGAGACCTGTTTGTCGTTTATTTGATTAGACACATAAACATCAGTGCAAACGAGTATCAAGTTAAATTTATCGTGCAATACGAAAGCAAGATCATAAAGAAGTAGTGGAGGGGGTATGATAAGAAAAAAAATAGTAAAGTAAACGAGAGTGATATATTGTGGGAGAAGCAGTTAAATTATGAGTACAACCAGAAAGAATGTCAGTTAAGACTCATATATATTAAGTAACGGAAAGTTGCCACGGGACTGCCACTGGCTTTTATTCTGGGCCATTTCTGATAACTTCTCATGCCACTGTGTTGCACTATGTCTAGGATACTAACAAGGAAGTCGTTAAGGACCGACAGATTCCATCCCAATTAAGCCTTCATACCACAACACCATTTTTTATTATTTTTATTTAAACACAAATATTGGTACAAAGGGGCACCGAATACATATGCGCCACACAAATCTCATTTGATTTGTGAGAGGGCTGAGATACTGCCCAGGTGCCCAAACTGAAGCAGGTACCACAGCATCATGCCACAAACTAACCACCTGCCTGCTTTCTTTCCAACCGGTTCCAGTGTCCGCAAATGATGGACGATTCGAAAGCTTTCGCTACTTGTGGCGGCTGGGTGCCGATGTTCGTTGTATAGATGATGTATGACTTTTTTAACGTTGGAGAAGGTAGTCCCCCCATCCCACGATGTTTCCTAGACCCCCCCCCCGAAATCACTATCAACAGTTTATTAAATTTGGCCTCACCCAAGTCTTACTTTTCGTCGAAATGTTAGCAGTGGTAGCATGGGGGGATTCAAAGAAAGGTGAGGTTTGATGGTAAAAATAGAAGAAATATTAGTAATAAAAATGGAATTTGGTTGTGGGCAGCGTAATTTCGAGTGCTGTTAAAGGTATAAGGGGATTTGTTGACACTGGAATATTTCTTGAGATTTAAGTAGGAAACTGGATTGGTAGTAGTCCTAGCAACTTAATCGCATTACCTCAAAATCCTAGGATGTTATGACAGATTTAATTAAATTGTGTTCCGTATGGGATCACACTGAAGCACACTTCTATTTATTTTTATTTATTTAAACACATATATATTGGTACAAAAGGGCACCAGATACATATGCGCCACACACTAAAGCACACTGACCCATTTTCAACCAACTAACTCTAGAAGATAAGCGGGAAAGAGTGTAAAATCGTCCTATTTAGTCATTAAATATGCACCGATATTTTTTTGCTGAATTAAGTGAATTTTACTCACCGTTTTGCACTAGGATATATTTGCGTCCTACCTAAGTCCTGTTTCAGTTTGATAGTCGAGTGAAATAAAGCGTCTGAGCACACCAGGCCGAATAAGGAGACTTAACGGAGAGACAACTTCTTAAGGCCAGTCACAGGGCCCTATTGAGAAAAGTTTTTGATGTGTTAGCTCGGTACTTCAAAGGGCTTCCCACCGGCCAAGGGGGATCGTTGGGTAAGATTAAGTGCTGTTTATAGGATCAACATTTTCTGACCCCTTCTTCAGTTGTAGTAAAGCAGAATCTCAGCAGATACTTTTTATCTGACGGAAACACTATAATGCCGTCAAAATCATATACAGTCCCGAACACGTCGTGCTGGGATCATAAGTTTGTTGTTTTCATTCTTACCTCTGTCATGTTAAAACCTTAGAATGCAAGTGTTCTGGTCAATGTAACTCATTTGGGTCATCACGATGTAAAACGCGGCCACTGCGTCAAGTTGACAGCTACAGTTGTGATTATCAGTCCATCGAGTTATCGACTCAGTCTGGGGCATTACGGTAAATGTGGATTACCTTGTCGGGGTCCGCGTGACAATTATAGTAGTTGGAAACGGGTAACAGTTTGGCATCAGTTACTGTAGCACAGATGGATACACTACTTGTCTTGCTGTAGATCTTGAGGCCTATCATTCATTCATACATACGTTTCCATTCTGTTTTCTGAACTGTATTCCCAATGTCTTATCATTGGTAATACATTATTTTGATTTGTTCACCATTTATATTGTTACTTTCCTCTTGCCGTTTTAATATGATACGTCGACCTGGGCTAACTCACGTTTGTGCAAGGCTTTACGTTGATTATGCATGACTTATTTTTAATCAAGCAACTGTTTTCACTGGTCGTTTCTTTTGCATTCTTGACCAAAACTGTATTTATGTTTTTGTAAGAGATGAAAATCTGAGTTGATTTCTGGCTGTTCACTGTATTACCTGAGTTTATTTGGTGATTTCATAGACTAGCACTATTATGACGTTAATCTTTCTGTAAAAGACAATGTATGACTTGACTTTAGGAGCAGTTATGTTTGCTTGCAAAACCTGGCATGAACAAACTGTATACATACAAGTCTGTGTTCAGTCATCATTGTCTCCAAGTGATTGCTATGACTTAGTAGTTAGCTCATTTCTTTTTTTCCAATGAGGTCACAAGTTTGGATGCTATTCCATCTGCTTCGATATGACCAAACAGATAGTAACATTATTCTCTGTACAAAATGTGCGGCTTTAAGCCAGTACTTAAATCTGTATTCTGTTAATGAGTCACCTTTTACCGTAGTCCATTCTATATCCTCACGTTTTTTACTGACTAACTTCATTTTTTCTGCTTGAGATGCCTTTCTCATGCTTGACTTTCGATTGCATCTGATATTATTTACCTTTCGATTATCATATTTCCAAGTTTTATTTCCATGTGTTGGGGAAACATGATAATTTAGACCGTTGTACGTTCTTGCCAGATCGTACGTTGGTAACAATTAACATCCCATACATTTTGTTGTCAAAGCAAAAGTCAGCAGTGGTACCGTCGTAAATTTTTGTTATATTCTTTATGAGCAGCAAGATATCTCTTAATAAATAAAATATATATTTTGTGTTTTTACTCAAATGGTACCATTTAATTCGTTTTCAAAACGCTAAATAAAATTTCGTAGCTCAAATAAATTCTCGATTGTTGACGAAGAGGATAGAGATTGATTTTCGTCACAACCATGAATTACATAGCAAGATCTCATTTCAGTGAATTGGCCATTTTATTTAACTGTTTGGTTTGTACAAACTTCCTCAATAGTTTATGCTTTAACTCAGCGTTGTTGAAAGCCGCAATTATTTACGTGAAACATGTGTAGGCTGTTATCGTATAGAAAACAAAAATGTATATATGCTCACTTAAAACTAAACTACCAACCCTATAATTTAAAAGTGTATCTCTAATATGCCGTTTAATGGATAATTCACCATGTGTTGCCTACCTAGAGTTGTAGGTAAGCTAAATAACTGATTCATTTAGTTATAAGTCTAAGCTTATTCTCTCTAAAATAGTGAGATTTATACTTGGGAACTCTGGTCATAATAGGTAGTATTAACCAATTAGGAATGTCACATTTAAATATAGCATTAATTGTTTACTGTGACATGTAGTATAAAATGTAAACACTTTCTATAAGATCGTTAGGAAATTATTTGTATGAATGAACTACTCATCACCATAAGGAGCTATTAGCTGCTGGATAATGTGCAAAAGTTCTCCTTTTGAGTATAAATCTCATCTTGTTTGTCTTAAGAATGAGCATCGAACTCCACCCAGTAATAGTTATTAACTGTGCACCATTTAATTTTTGTCTTTACGTTTAGATACGTTCAGAAACGATATCGTAACTACCAAGAAAAGTCCCTTCGTGGAAAATTTTTAGAAATTTAGAATTAAGCGTTAATTTTTAAGCTGTTTACTACTTGTCTATTTAGTTTCAGGCTATTAATTTAGACTAAATTCAACTAAGTTACAGGTTCATTCGTCTTCTTTTAATGGAATATGAATGGTCGATTAATATCAAGTCCTCACCCAATAGGTATGGCACATTATCTGAACCATTTAGTTCTACATGGTTGCTGAGTTACGTTTGCTGTCTAATACTTGGGTATCTTGATCAAGAGACGAGATCATTTAGTTGAAATTTGTAAACAAAGCATAAAACATTTGTGTACGGTTTTATCAGCATTTTTTTCGGCTTCATCATTTTACATTTTTTTAAAAGCGTTAGTTGAAAATTAGAATAAATCGTTTCCTTACTAATCATAACTATTTGACCAAGTTATTTTTCGAGTCTAGACTAAGTCACTTTGTAAATCATGAACTATGTTGTTCCATCTGATTATTTAAAGCATTTTTGTGATATTTGTAAATGTACTTTGTAGAATATATATGGTATCAATAATTCAGCGGACGCTTACTATGGGACACTTTTCTCGCACTTGTCTTATGGAATGGGTGAGGGCAGTGGAGTTAACTCAGCTACAACCCCAAATGCAGAAAATGCAGCTGCGGCGGCTGCCGCTGCAGCCTTAGCAGCAGTGGCTTCTGGAAGAAACGATTGGTCTAATACTGATGCTTATAACGCTGTTTCAAACATGATGAATAATATGCGTACACATCCATCAATGACAGCTTGTTCAAATTCTGGGGATTTATCTGAATCTTGTAGTATCCCATCCAGTTCTTTATCATCACCTTATGCTGCGACTTTGCTGGCTGCAGTTGCTGCAGCAGCAGCTGCAGCTTATCCACTTCCTCAGGGTACTGCGAATGCCGTTTCTGGCCAAACAGGTCGGTCTTTCTTACCTAATCCCTCAATGAATAATAGAGCAGCTGATTTCACAACAATGTACTTTGGTTCTTCTGCAAGACCATCTGTTACTAATGCTAACCAACTTAATGGGCTTCTTGGTAACCTACCTAATTGGCCTTTCACTGTTCCTCCAACTCACTATCCAAACTCTTCATTTATAGACAGGCCTACTGGTGCAGTCGTTCCCTATGAGGGCTGGGCTTCTTCAAATGGACAACAATTGACATTGTCACCTTGTGGTGAAAATGATACAATCAATCACTTTGGTCAAGGTCCATCCGAAGCAAATATGTTATCTAAAGACCCACATACATATTATACATCGTCGAATATGGGAGATACTGTTTTCCCGGCACCTGCATGCTATTCTCAGCAGCAACAACTAGGTACTACTGAAGACCCTGGTGTTTCATTCATCTACCATCATCCGAATTCAAAACCTGCCTATCCGTTTTCATCGCAAGGATCTCAATCACATCTTGTAAATGGATTGCCTGGTAGTGCTGCCAATATGTTGGATCCCTATGCTTCAGTAAATCAGTGCCAAACAATCTCACAACATCTGATCGATGAATTCGGTCGACTAAATGTTGGATGTGGTGTCGAGGCAGCAACTTGTAGTGATAATGGGCTAAATCAGTTGCATGTCCCGTTTTATGAAACCTCAGTTGTTGGGAATGGAAGTAATGTTCAGTTACATAATGCTTCAGTAACACAATGGTCTCATATGAAAGAAAATAATGGAGTAAGTCAATACAGTTACATATATTCTGCATATGGTTATTTAGTCACCAATTCGCGCTTTTTGGATTGACAGGGAACCATAAAAATCTACTTGGTATTATTTTTTTTTAGGTCTTCAAAACCGTATCCATAAATATGATATTTTACACCCAAACAGCGCAGCAGTTCTCTCTGTTCTATTTTCTGGTTGTGAAATGTAAGCTTTAAAGATAGAGAATACTCTTAGGTTACTAGTATTCGACCACAAATATTCTGTAAACATTACTCATATATGTTTGGACCACCGAGTTAGATGCAGGGTAGTAGGTAAAAATGGCAAATTAATTAGTAAGGTAATGAATCTTCAACTAAGGTGGTCGTAACATGTGCTACGTACGCCCACCAACCGATTACCTCGATACTCGATGATGGTTGATGTAGGTTGAAAAAAAGCTATAGGCAGCTCAATTTTGCCGATTGGTTGAAGTTATACATTAACACCGTTGGATGCCGACTCAGTGGTCTAGTGGTTAAGCGCTCGCGCGCGAGACTAATAGGTCCTGGGTTCAAATCTCGCGAGGCGGGATCGTGGATGCGCTTTGCTGAGGAGTCCCACAATAGGACAAAACGGCCGTCCAGTGCTTTGAGGTTTTCCATGGTGGTCCAGCTTCAATTGATTCATGATCTCAACTATTAAAACCAAGATTTATCATCAACCCATAGAGACAGTGGCAATTGGATTGAGCCATGTAGGTAGATGCATACTACCTGATTGGGGTTCACAGGATTATCGTAACCAAGAGGTAATATTGCTTTTACTGATTTGGAATGACATAGGTGCACTTACTGTTTGTCTCCCCTTAAATCCTAAGTTTCCGGATTACTGTATAACATTTTTATTTTCATTCCGATAATCCATATATTCTTGAATCGTATCTTTGATGCCTGATCTTTTCTATTACCGCTAGTACTGTTACCACCTCTGCTACTCTGTGATTTGTCCTGATGGTCTCATCTCGCCTTGCTAATGGGATGCGTTGCATATGACAGTAGAGCAACGATTACTTTTTACTTTTAAAAATATCCATCAAGTAACTTTAAATTAGTTGTGATTTTTATAACATAAATAAAACATTAATAGTGTGACCAAACGCTTTGTAGGTTTGTGTATTTACTCAGTCGGGAATTAGAATTCGATTCGCAATTTACTTCTTAGAAAATTCTGCACTTATCATTTAGTTATATCATTTAAATGTGAAAATCAGCTAATTACGAATAAATTAATTTGGACTTATTGCTTAATAGGTAAACGCCAAATATGTACATAGTCAATTTATTTGCTTGCATATATATTTAAATATATTACTGGGAAATATGTGAAATCTATTTTCTTCATTTTTTAGATTGGTAATAGCATGTGTTCTATGGATAAGTCCGATAATATATCCAGATCACAATCCAATCCAAGTAGTTATCCAGCAAGTAGATTATCTACTTCAGCTAGTAACAGACCTGCACCGTCAGTTGTTGCTACATCCGTCAATAGTTCACCACGTACTAAAACTTGGGCTAATATAGCAGGACAACCACCCAAAGGGTCAGCTGCAGTTATTCAAAACTCTGTAGGGTGGTCAGCGAAAAGATCTCATCCTCACAATCCAACAGCTGTAAACAGGTCTTTCCAACCTTCTACTGGGAACTATTCAGTTGGCAGGGCTAATTCTTTGATGGCAAATGCTTCGTGTAATAATGGGCATTTAACACAACAAGATCGAGTCAATACTGGGGACCAGTCAGGAAATGGACGTTCTTTAGCGGAATCTAACTCTGAGTTAAAGAGTACTTCAAATAATGGTAACCATTCTGCAAATAATTCAACATCCCTACTAACCTCAGATGGATCTGCACAGGCTTTTCAACGTGAGTCGGAGGCGCTGCACCAACGTTTGGCTAAAGTAATCAACCCCAATGATTTCGACACACACATAGAAAAGGCCAGATTCTTTGTAATCAAGTCGTTTTCCGAAGATGATATTCATCGTTCTATTAAGTATTCTATCTGGTGTTCAACAGAACTAGGCAACAAGAAACTTGACACAGCATTTGCGGAGGCCAATCATGCATATCCAATATATTTATTTTTTTCAGTCAATGGATCTGGACATTTTTGTGGGATGGCTGAAATGGTTTCTCGTGTTGACTATAATGCTAGAGCTAGTGTCTGGGCTCAAGATAAATGGCAAGGTAAATTTTCGGTTCGATGGATATTTGTAAAAGATGTTCCTAATACTGCATTGAGACATATTCGCATTGAGACAAATGATAATAAACCAGTAACTCACTCTCGTGACACTACAGAACTTCCCTTAGAACGAGGCAAACAAGTAATGGAAGTACTTGCCACATATTCACATACATTATCTATTTTCGATGATTTCTTTTATTATGACCAACGAGAAAGACAAGAAGTAAGTTGGATTACATTGTATCATAGATCGTAATATGTTGTATACTTATACACATTTTTACCAATAACCTACTTCACCCAAGAGATTCGTACTTGCTATTGTTATGACTTTATATAAAATAGGACGTATGCTAATTCGTTATTGATCTTATGTCCGGCTTTTTATCACGTGAATTATCCATCAATCGAAATACTACTTGTCTAATCTTAACACTATGACAAATCAGTGACGTTCAACTGGTATGAGTAGTCTAGCGTCCTTATTGATCCTTTGTCCGCCTAGCCCTCCCAGTTGAGTCCAGAACACCAATTGCAGCTTCTGCTATACGAATCTATGCGAATCATTTATTTCAAACATACTCTGTTTATATATCAGACAGACAGACCGCAGCACACCATAAAATATAAAATCATATTTGTACCAAATCAAGCCAAATGTGGCTGTGAACGTGGGAGACGGTAATTAATAAATTAAGCATAATTTGGGAACAGTAAATCGTACAGTAATAATTCATAGGCCAAAATGAGGCTTATAATAAGATGAATGTATATATACACAATCTAGTTACTCAATAGTTAAACAATAAGAATATATATATAGAATAATCGTCCATTAATATGTCCTGGAAGTTACTCGTACTCATGTCTTCGCTAGGATATAACAGCTATATTTATATAATCATACCTCTGTTTATGACAAATGTTTTTGTGTGTGTAAAACTAGTTTGCCAAGAAATTGCAGCTTTAAGCCTGACTAAATAAATAATTAGTCAGAAATCTGGATACAGTGCCAACCTTCAGGGATAGACAATGTTTCACTAGGTTGCTAAAATTATCGTGGTCTCGATTTATATCTGTATTTAAACTCTAAGAAATTACTCATATCTTAAAATATATGCCATGCCAACTGAACGCTGAATTTTCGCATACCACTTAGTCTTACTTCTAATAAGTGTTTTCAATAATTCTTTGACAGGGATTTCGTCGTAAAGAATTCAATACGCGAAGAGGTTGATTTGCGGACAATAAATTAGTTTGAACGAATCTCATCAAATGTCGATTGTTATTACACTTACGTAACAAAATTGGAGTTTTACGCTCATTTTACGATAAGAAATGAATAATCTAGACATTTCTCCCTCTATCTTTTCCCGTAGTTCTCAGTTAGAGGCTGTTTTTGGATGATTTAAAAGCACAAATTGTTTAGGTTTTCTCTCTTCTGCTACTTCGTTTTTTAGAAAAAAACATACAAACCGAAAGCAAACTTTACTGTGAAATCTTTTTTACTTAATCATGTTATATACAGCCTCAGGTTATATAGCTTATAAAATTTACTTCCTTACTCTAATAAACTCTGTCTCACATTGTTTGGTAAAATGGACATCCATGAAAAGGGGAACACAGTAATACAAATTGAAGTATTAAACATGATGAAACAAGAATTATTCAATGTATATCTCTTTTACTAAAATACAGGTAATCATGTTATAATATTAACAGTTTGATATTTCACAAGCTGAAACTAGAAGTTACTTTGATGTATTAGTTTTTCTTGCTACATTCATTGCTATCCTTTATAATGTCTGTAAGATTATTATTTAAAAAACACTTTCATTGGTAGAGGTACGTAAAACACATAACTAATCTGGGTCCCAGTTTTTGTTTACCTACCCACTTAAAATTTACTTTCACTACTAACTTACAAAACAGGACAGACACTTTTTGAACTTGAATCTTTTCTGAAGAACCATGTTTTTTTGACTTCTCATCTGTAATGTATATTTCTCTTCATCAAGTGATTGACAATTGTTCCACTTATTTTTTGTCACATATATACATCATATGAGTAGTTGCCATTTCTTCAGATATATATATATATGATATTAGTAACACTATATCAATGACAATGCCCACTTACTTACATTTATAGGGAAATCTTTTACTTTTTTCCACACTTCATTATATATATAAACCAATCTGTTGTTGAATATACAACAATTATTATTTAAATATTAATATTTACTGATCGTCTCAAGTTAGATAGGCACGCACGTAAACTTATTATATCACAGTTTGAATTATTCAAATTTCGCCCTTTCCTTTTTTTACTTCATAATCGTCATACTATGTATTCCAACCTTTTTCTGTTTATTACTAGTAAATATAAAAAGTATCAAAACAGTTATGACATTTGAATAAATAGGGCAGTTCATTGAATTCATCTGTTTATTTGTCAACATCAGTTAAACTGACATATAACTGTCCATCATTGCGATATATGTTTTGCTTATTTCGATGTTCAGATATGATATTAAAAAGTTTCGGAAACGAGACAGGCATCATCTAGGTTAGTTACACCAAAATTTTAGAAAACAAACTCCTACTCAATGATCTGTGAAACAGTGGCTTAGTTGATGTACGGCCTGACGCAAGTGTATACCGGCTCAATTTGTTGCAATTCACATCAACATAGCAAGAATAAAAAGATGTTGAGCAGAGGGTAAATAAGATCAAATGAAATGAGAGCTGAACGTGAGGAATGTAATCTAGACAACAAGTGAGATCAAAGAATGCAAAGGTAACTCATTCGTTCGTTTATGTGAAAACGAAAGACTGACCACCTTCTTAGGATGTCATTGAAAGCCATTAATAATGATAATAACTATCTTCGAGTTAAGCGGTGATTGGGCATATGTAACATTCCAACTATTCAATGAAGATCCTATCTGTCGTCAACTGATTATTATTCTCGCCTGGTACGCTAAGTCGAACAGCAGGATTGGTCACTTGTTCTACCACATGTAAGTTGTGCTTCTATTGTAACAAATCCTACATTATGATGGAATTCGAATGGTGTTTCATAGTTTTGGAAAATAAGGATTTCTGAGCAATATACTGGTCCTAATATGGACAAACATCCTGCCCATGCCACGCAAAAGCAAATGAAAATTTTAAAAAATACGTTTGTTACCAACTTTTCAGGGATAACAGTAAATAAAACGGGTGGCACGATCCTTGAGGCCAGTTTAGACGTTGACACATCCCTCTCGAAACAACACTGCATTGGAGGATAGAAAGGCTTTTAATGCACTCGAGAAATTGCAGTTTTTTGCATTCTTGCTAGACAAAATTGCTATCTTCAATAAGTTATACGGATAAAGATCGATTCCTAAATAGTCGAAGAAAGTATAATTTTTATGTGACATATGATGTAACTTGTCGAATATCTCATCACACGAAGGATGAATCTCGTTGGCTATATATGTTACGGGTTACAAATACACGGAAACGCGGTCTTGTGGAAAATGTTCATTTGAGTGCTGTTAGGAGTGCTTGACTCTTCCCGGTTCATAACATCTTCAAAGGAAACTTAGTGATACATCTAAGAAGATTTGGCTGGTCGTAACGTTTTTATCAATCTAGGAACCTTTTTACAAAGGTCACAACTGTCTCGCTGTATTAGCTTCATACCTTTCAAATCATAACTCTATGAAGCTGAGCGGTCATTTAAGAGCTGACTTCTAAGTTTTTGCACTCAACTAGTTGACTGTAAATTTGAACCTTAATCCACTTATTCTAGTTTGGACAATCGGAGAGTATGTATCACGAACCTTTACGCAAAATCTGGCTGAGCACATAAACCCCTATACTTGGCAAATGTGTCCGTATGGTAAACTGTTTCGTTAATGTAGCTAGATAGATTTCCTACTGTATTTGTCTCAATATAACTCATCGTATTTTTTATTTTATAACGGTGTAGTTTGAAAATACGATTCTCATATTTCTGAAATATAGTATACAGTGTTGTAAATCTATACAAAAGATCCATTGTAAAGCAGTATGACAAACGATACCAAAGTATATTATGTTACATGACAATATCACTTGTGATTCTCGTCCTTATAAGTTTTCTGAAGTTTTGTACAAGCAATATATCGGCTAAGGGTGTTCTCAGAAGTTCTTGCCACCTTCTAACTGGCTTTGTCATCACATGAATCCCCATTGAAAGAAATAAACTGCAAGAAGTTTGCTGCAATCGAAGCATCATCCGGGATTGTATTTAACTGGTCAAATTTTAATCGTTGTACTGCAATATATCGGCGTTTAAGTCGTATAAGGCTGCCAATTGTGTAGTTAGTTTCGGAGTTTGTAATTTGAAGAACTAAATCTCGGTTATGCTCGTTTTGGAAACACGTAGGAAGATCGACTGACGAAAGACCACTGGTTTGACTTTGAAGGACATGATCTACGACTTGCTGCGTGATATGCTCCAGATTCTGAAATTCAGTATGTTGCATAGAGGAGCTTTATAAAAAAAATAAATGCTTTTACACATTCAATATGTTGCTTAACAGGTATCGTAAGTCAACTTTAATGAACGATGAGTTTTTATTAATAAGAATGCCATAACGTGTAATTATTGAGATTTATAAAATAAGAAAAAGTTTTCAACTTTCCCTGCAAAACATTATAAGTTCAATTTAATCAGAAGAGCGAAATGACCAATCCATAACTTAGTTTAAATGACGTCTGTAGACTCTGTTAGACCAACTATTTGGATCTTAAAAGTAAAGTGAGAGGGGACTGTTAGCTGAATGAATTGTATGTAGAGCTTATGACACGTAACTTTTTGAAAAGATAAAAGATTAATAATAAAATTATAGGAACTAGTACTTTTAGAGTTAACGTCGAAACCAATTGTGTTGAAGTGGATAAATGCCAGGCTGTTATAAAATGCTTTAACTGTAAATGTATCAAAACCGCTCATTGAGTAAGTTCTGTTAACCTGTAATTGACGAATCAGCACCTACTCCTACACCGTATTGATAACTGCTGAGGTGTGTTATTGCTTGGTCAGGTACTTTTCCCATTGGTTCGGAGTGATAGCAAATTACCAATACTGAAATGTAGTATCTTTTTTGCTGACTTGAAAAATATTTTTTCAATGCGCCAAAAGAGAGCTTTTACAAACTTACTTGTAGGAAGTTAGATGATGAAACAATTGTCGGTTGTGTTGATTTATTCGGTTGAATTTTTCCTTTACCTTTGCTGTTTAGCAGCTGTTTTATTTGTATAACTACTGACTCTATATTATCAATGCTTGATGAATTCCAAAGATGAGGTTCAATAGTTATAAGCGGGTTATCCCAACGCTGTGTAGACTGAGGACGTTCAAACCTGCCAATCATATCCGAAAGCAGATCATCAGGATACCGATTAATCTAACAATGAAAATTTAGCAAAGAATTATAAATTGATTATTCTGTAAAAATATCGAAATAATGTTTGCAGTTACCACCAGTACAACATGTGGTCGGCATGTCTACTAAAACATCTTACAATCACACTAATGTGAATTTGTCTATCCTGATAATCAATGGCAGCAATCATACATTAGTTAGTAATAACTGGATAAAGTCATATTTTAGTGGCAAAGAGTGGATTCATGGTGAACTATATGGACTAAAAATTAGGGATTCAAGATAAACATCCAGATCTCCGACTTTCAGGCAGTTAACAGGAAAGTATTAGTTGTAGTACTTACATACACAACAGAATGTATGGTGATGGATTTTAAGAGTTATCTAGAATGTAAGAATAATTTGTGTTAAGTGAAGCTTTGATATGTGGATAGACTAAATATGCTATTGGATTTTCAAAATTTATATTTTTCTTTTGATATACATATTCTTCTTTTGATAGAATGATACTTTGGAGTTTTTGCGAGGAGCTTGAAAGTAACATACGTAAGAAAATGACAACTTTAGTTTACTGACCTAGTTTTGGTTTCGTACCACCTCCATCCTTTTCTGCAGGAACTTACTGTTTCGTAGGATGCTAATTATCATTGAAAAACAGTTCAGTGCCCCAAAAACTACAGTATGGCACTGACCACAGATCCGCTTTAAACTTTGTAGGTTTTTAGAAGATCGACTTGGTATGACAAAATCAACACTTTTGAGGAGAACATTTACAAGACTGGCTATCATATCTAAATAATAACAAATATGATAATAATAAACAGATAGATGAACAAATTAATGAACAAGAATAATTAAAATTTACTTTGGAATTCCAATTTTCTGAAATTTCAGGCGGGATATCGCTGAATAAAACAATCTGTTGATGTTTATGAGATTTGGCCATACAATATAATTCGTATCTATAACCCTTGATATAATTGGGTGCATCCATGATTACTATAGTTGATTGATTTTGTGTAAGTGCTCGTTCAACCTGACCATCAAACAGACAAGAATTACAAAATGTAAAAAAACCTATCAACAGAAAAATATAAGTGTTGTGCCCTCAAGATAGGCAGTTAGAAAAATGAGGAAGCTGTCGACGTTCAAAGAAGTAACTGCCAGTGAAACCTATAAACACATAATCATAAATAACGTTATAGCTACCAATTGATGAGATATACATTATCCATAAATTTCATAAAACACATTCCTTGTAAATATACGCCTAACGGTTTGGTGTTAGATCACTGGAGGGAATCAACAAGAAAGTTTGAGTTTACGTTTTGTCTTGGGTGTCACTTATAGCAACAAATATCTCTACGTGATTGGTTTATTTCCTCAAACTACTTATTAATCGACTAGATACTGTTAATATATACATTAGATATATTATATTAAGGATAGTTTATTCATACCTCTGATTTTTGTTGACCGCGAAATTCACGTTCTTTTTGGGAATCTGCATAAATATCACATCTGATATCATAGTCAGTAGTTATTTTTGGTTGTAGATTACCACTTTTAAATTCATCCACAATGAGAATTGAATAATGAGGTAAATGCTGCTTTAGTAAATCAGCTAATATAGAGACAATGGTTGATTTACCTGAACAAGGATACCCGCATAACAGAATTAACGGCATTTTGTATGTGTAATTACTGGAAAAACAGAAATGTGATGAATACTATTGTTTACTCTATATTATCAAATAAATAAACAAAGGATTTACAATTAGGTGTTATAAATCGGAAGAAAGTAATTAATATTATGCTTTTAAAACAATTAGTCCCTTTGATAAATTTCGATCATGCAATGAGTTCAAAAACAATTTGTTCTTAACCTACCCTGGTAATGCTGCAACTTATTAATTGTTCTTATAGATTATTATAAACTCTATTATACATAAGTTTCATGAACATATGAAGCACAATTTGATAAATTCTATCAACACAAAGCGTTATCAGAGGAAACTATTGAATAGGTTTTTGTTTGAGCGGAATAATTTCAACTAATAATTTTTACTCTAAACTAGAATCCGTACTGAGCAGTGAGTGCATTAGTTTGTCTTTCATTAAAAACATGAACCGACCCATGTTAAACTACCACTATCTTATCTCAACATACTGCACGTAATATCGACTCACCTAGACTAGTGGTTACATTGCAACTTGATCGATAGGATTCGATCTGTACTAGGAAGGACATGACATTGATAACCACCCAATAATCAATCAATTGTAAATGTTAAACTACCACTGGAAGCACTGGACAACCGTTTCGTCCTAGTACGGGACTCCTTAACAGTGGGCCTTCACGATCCCTCATGCAGGACTCAAACCCAGAAACTTAGGTCTTGCACGAACACTGAACCAGTAGACCATTGAGCCAGCATCCGATGGTGTTAATATCTAACTTTAACCAATCCACAGGTAGTTTGGACTTTTCCATTATCAATGTTAAAGGTTCTAATCGATCAGTCTCTATTGGCATATGCAGATCCTGAATGAATTCCTTTGATATTGTTGTCTAGTCAGAGTCTTAAATAAAGTTGATTTATGGTTAGCGATGGAAGCCACGATGCACGTCCCAACTTCTTGAGGGCTTTTAAAATGAATACATCTCTATCCCATAGATAACATTGCAATTCCTCCCTGCTAGCCACAATCAAGCTTCACTAATAGATATACAAACAGTAATTATTCAGAATAGGTTATTTCCAACTTCAAAGAATTTATGAAATTTAAATTGCTTACTCAGGTTGTCAGATAAAATCTTATTAATAAAGAACATTATAACATGAATCTAAAAACATGACGACTGATTTGTATAGTTCACAAATAAACGACACAACTGGATCACTAACAGACTCCTTATTGCTTTAATACAATATACATGAAAATGTTACAACTGTTTGAAAAGTGTCATGACTTTATCTTAACAAAGGTTTCAACTCCGATGTGGCTTAGCGTTTAAAGGATGTGTACGTAATTATGTCAACGGTTTGATTTTCGAGAACCGCATGAAATAATTGTTTATTTTTGAAGTGATTTACAGATCTATAAATGATAAAAAATAATGGAATTATTACGAATGAAAGGTTTACTGTGTTTTGACTAGACGAAATTTTCGATTGTTCAAATCAATGAATGAAATGCTAATCGATAGATAGACGAGGTGACGGCTACTCATGAGATCATACTATTGACTTAGGTCCCTGAACAATTATTAATCAAAGACAAGACCGGTAGCCGGACGAATAACTTTTTATGATCGCAGCACACATACTAATTGGTCTAATATGAAATAGACAATGTACTTTGGGTTCTAGGTTCATCATTTGCTATTGGGTGAAGCTGATCTGTCATCTAACACTTGGAAAGTTTTATGACATATGTAGCTTTTTAGGACAGATATGATTTATAACCATGTCAATGAAAACTATATGTCTCATGGGGTCATATTCACTAGCAGCTCAATGTATTTCAGGCTTTGATTAACAATTATACTACAGAATCGCTGAAAAATTGTCTTAAAACATTACGAATAATTATTCGTAAATTATGCCTCGAAATATCAACTTTCAAAAAATGAAACCGGATGTAGTTTACTGTGTTGTTCATAGATTTTTTAATAATGTCTAAATACTTGGATGAGTCACAGTTACATATATAATGGTTGTATAATGGTAATGATATAGTCTAGTGGACGAATGATAATAAAGGACATTAGCAATTCTCGAGAGATCCAATTAAACAGAAAGCTGATGGGTAAACCTTAAGTTGGACATGATACTAATAACAATAACAAATACTACATGTAAGGGATCTCTTTTTTGATCGCCTTAAAAATGTGACAACACGAACTCTAATTGATTCGAACAGTTAAGAATGTACTAACATAAAATGTTATTGAATGGTTAAACAAGTAGAGTCAATTCTATTATGTTCACATACAAACAATACTCGTCAACGTGAAAGGTACAGTTTATAACCAGTCATTTCATTAGAACATTTATCATACTCAACATCAAAAATATTAATGATCAAGAACACGTTTTCACATGGGGATAATGCGTTTAATTTTGAATTGGCTGTACATTATTTATGTTTTATTTATCAAGTTTAATAAAAACCGATAGAATCCAATGTGAAATCAGGTTGTTTTGTTTCGTTTCTTCTTAATTCGAGAACAGACAAATGGATTTTTATATAAACAACAACAGGAATTCGATTTTCATAATTAAAACATAAATTATATCACTCTGGATAATGATAAACTTTTACAGTAGAATCAGCTGATGAACTTAAGATATAATGTATAGGTTTATCATTAGTAAGTAATTTAATTGCAGGTGCCCAATCAACATCTGTCACAATATCAGCATGTCCCATTAAGTCATATAGAGAGGAACGAGGATTACGTGTATCCCATAGACGAACACTACGATCAATTGATCCAGATACAAACTGATCTTGTCTATGAGGTGCCCAGGCAACTGAAGTCAACCAGCCTGTATGCCCTTGAAATCCGGAGAGTACTAAAGGTGCTTTATGAAATAAGTTGGTAGGGAAAGAAATGAAAATAGGGAGGTTTTGAAGTATATTTTTATATTAGAACTGAAAATTTAAATTTTAAACGTCATGGTTAAATGACAGATAGAGTTACAAACAAATGAACAAAAATATGTTTGCTATTCAAACAATCACATTGATCGAATCTTTATCTTTGTACACTGGGTAACATCCCAGTCAGTCGATGACTTAAATAAGTGATGCTGTTTTGTTTAAGCCATTATAATACTTTTTACCACTTTACTCTTGCAGAAGATAACTATCTTCTGTAGGGTGTGGAAAATAGTGTATAGTTAGACATTACACATCTCCAAACCAACTCAGTCAATAACACCTCATAAACCCATTAACCAACATCGCTTTTGCAAGTAACATCAGCATTGGACGCTTGGTGATTTCATTAGCTAACAACAACGATTATGAAGAACTTACGATTCCATACCTCTAACTTTCAGGCTGGCTTTTTTACAGATGTATGTTAGCAGATAAAAAACTGGATCATAGTATTCTGCCTCTGCCAGGGAAGTCCTACTCACTGCCTTCTCGTGGCACTACTGTTGTCTAAGAAATTGAGAGGACGAAAAGCGAATGTCCGACGCTTTAACAGAGTTGGAGGACACGGAGGGTCCACCTAGGGGAGTTGGAAAACCCTGATTCTAAACCAATGGTGCACATGGGCTCCACTATCCTGATGGAACGAATGGCGAATGAACCTTTTGCTGGTCAACGGCTACCATGGGACTGCATCTCCTTACGATGCTCCACTGCCTTGTGGATCAGACCTTTAGGTCAAAGGCTCGGGGCGTGGCCCCCTAAGAAAACCACCTGCTTCGGTTTGGGCACCCGGGCAGTATCACAGCCCACACACAAATAAATGAAATGATGAATTCTATTGACGATACTATTCCCGCTCACACTAGAAGCAAGACAATTTACACTAATATTATTATTATTACTACGTCGCTTTTTCACTCCCTTTATTCTCAAATTGTGTATCCTTCCTTTCCAACTTATGCAGTAGCTCGCTCTTGGTGGAAAATCTGTCCTATCTAAACGATCTACAGTCACTGTCTGGTTTAAAGTGAATGCTTCCACCGATTACGAATACTGAAGCAGTCTTTCTGAAACCACGTACGCCGTTCAAGCTGGCTTCCTTCAACGTTCGCACACTAATGCAGATCGGACAACAGATGGGGCTGGCTATGTCTTTAGAAAGTCTTAATGTTGATGTTTGCTGTCTATCCGAGACCCGTATTCAAGACTCTAGTGAAGTACTACAAATTCGCTATCCATCTGTTGCTTCGAAAAGCTTGTTTCACGTGCGCTTATCCGGGGACTCTGTGGCATCTTCGTTTGGTCTTGCAGGCGTTGGTGTTGCACTAAGCGCTAGGGCTGAGGCAGCACTAATCGATTGGATCCCCATTAACAGTCGGTTATGTGCTGTTAGATTAGAAAGTTCCATCAAAGTGAGAAGAAATCGGCGTGAGAAACGGTGTCTTTTCGTCATCACCGCCTATGCCCCGACAGATTGCAGCCCGGATGCAATCAAGGATGAGTTTTACCACCAGTTAACAGTTCTTCTCCAGAAAGGGCGTTCGACAGATATTGTAGTATTAGCCGGAGACTTGAATGTTCAGGTTGGGGGTCTAGGCACAGAAGAGAGTCGTTTAGGTGGCCGATGGGGACTTGTTAGTCGCAGGACAGATAACGGAGACCGTTTGCTGCAACTGTGTACAGACCACAACCTGTTTCTGGCTAGCACTAACTTCCGGCACAGTCATCGCCGGTGTGTCACCTGGCGTCCTCCCCCTGCATCCCAAGCCTGGACTCAGATTGATCACATCGCGATCAGCTACCGCTGGCGTGGTTGTGTACAAGACTGCCGCTCCTTTTGGAGTACCTATCTGGAGTCTGATCATGCCCTGGTCTGCGCCAATCTCACCTTACTTTTCAGTGGCCGAAGGATTGACCACCACCGACGGATCGGTGTTAGTAAACTGGCTGCAACATCTGTTGCAAGTAAGTATCGAGCGGAGTTAGCCTCTAGGCTAGCTACCATCCCACCGAAAAGTATAGATGAGCATTGGTTGCATCTTCACGACGCCATGAAAATGGCGAGTAAAGCCGCTTGCGGCTTCGCGAAACGTCCCGCTTACAAGCACTGGGTTTCTTCTGGCTGCTTACAACTGATGGAAGCCCTTCGGTCTACTCCGGGTGACCGTGAGTTTGACCACAAACGAAGGCTTGGGAGCAAGAAAGTGTTCCAACATCATGGAATGAGTCAATAGTCGTCCCTATCTTTAAAAAGGGTTCATGTTGTTCCTGTAACAACTATCGGGGGATAAGTCTACTTCCGATTGCGTCCAAACTATTGGCTTCTATCATTCTTCGTAGGTTGTTTAAAATCCGAGAACGATTGACTCGTGAGGAACAGGCTGGTTTTCGTTCTGGTCGAGGATGCATTGATCACATCTTCACCCTCCGCCAAATGTTAGAACACCGTCATACTTATCGCAGGCCAACAACCGTAGTGTTTCTTGATATCAGGGCTGCCTTCGATTCGTTGGACAGGACTGTTCTCTGGGATTGTCTATTGAAGAAGAGTGTGCCTGAGAAGTTTATTAACATCTTAAAGGCCCTGTACACGAACACCTCAGGCAGAGTGAGGGCAGGCATACAACCACCTTTCCCCCTTGTTCCATTCGAGCAGTGGGGTTAGGCAGGGTTGCCCCGATCTCACCATTCCTCTTCAACTTTGCTATCGACGACATCCTGGAAACAGCTCTGATGGATGTAAGTAATGGCGGTGTGGATCTGCTGCCTGGAGAACGACTTCTCGACCTCGAGTATGAGGATGATACTGTCTTACTGTGCGATAATGCCCAAGGCATGCAATCCGCACTTAATCAGTTGGCAATCAGTGTCCACAGGTACGGCATGTGCTTTGTACCCTCCAAGTGCAAAGTACTCCTACAAGACTGGAAGGATTCTCATCCTGTACTCACCCTGGATGGTGAGCAGATTGAAGTAGTTGAGAAGTTCGTGTATCTAGGTAGCTGCATAAGTGCTGGTGGTGGCGTGAGTGATGAGATTGATGCACGTATAATGAAAGCCAGAACGGCTTATGCCAATCTGGGCCATCTTTGGCACCTTCGTGATATTAGTCTGGCTGTAAAAGGTCGGATCTACAACGCGTCGGTGAGAGCAGTTTTGCTCTATGCTTGTGAAAGCTGGCCTCTCCGAGTTGAGAATGTTAGACGTCTCTCTGTGTTCGATCATCGTTGTCTCCGAAGGATTGCTGACATCCAGTGGCAACACCATGTTAGTAATGCAGAGGTTTGGCATCGTGTGTTCGGGTGCAGAGACAATAATTCAATTGGTGTCACCATCTTGAAACACCGACTTCGGTGGCTTGGACATGTTTTACGAATGTCGTCCCAGAGACTTCCACGTCGTGCATTATTTGCCGACTCTGGGACTGGTTGGAAAAAGCGGAGAGGAGGTCAGTGTATGACATGGTGTCGTGGCATGAAGGAGAGCTGCAAAGGGCTAGCTTCTGTTGGTCCTTCACGACTCCCTGGCTGGGGTCCGAGAGATGGTGCAACACAGTGGCTAGATACGTTATCGGATATGTCTCACAATAGAAGCCAGTGGCGATCCTGCTGCAACCGTCTTTTACTTTCTACATAAAGAGCGGTTCTAACTTTCTTAACTGAAAGTGTCTTCTGGTTGTACATTTTAGTCCGCGTTATCTTTACATCCTTTCTTTTCCTACTTTCATTATTTCGTGTGGCGCATATGTATCTGGTGCCCTTTTGTACCAATATATATGTGTTTAAATAAATAAATAAATAAATAGTATTCTTGTCCTTAGTTAAGTATTCACACACATTAGTTGAGTCATAAATGATAAAAAATACAAGCGAATCTCTCTGAGATTTTATCAGCTACCAAAATTTGGACACAAATGACTAAAATGTCAAAGTATTTACGTCATGCGCAGTGCTATCTCCAATATGGAATGCTTGTTCGAACATTCATCAGCATGCGAAGTACTTTGAAAATTAAATCAAAGATAATGAGTATAGTTAACAAACAACTATCTTCAAAGATAAAGTTCGTCACGTGATAGAATAAAGCTTACCTTCTGCTCGTGGATCATATATCCGAATACAATTATCAGAAGAAGCGGTCAAAATACCTCTGTTATTGACATCTGCATCATGCAAAGCATGGTTGGAAAGTATACACCGAACTTCAGCACCAGTGTTACCTTTGGCCGCTTCACAATCCCAAATACGTAGACTGTGATCCCAACTGATAGAGAGTAGCTGGTTTCCACCAGGCTTCATTTCGCCATCATTAGTAAGAGCGGAAGGTAACCAACAAATGCGTGTGACAGTTTCCCGATGTCCCGCTAAGGTGAATAACGGGATCTGTAATATGTGTTGAAAGGTAAAAAAAATATAACCCGTAAAACTACTGGAAAACAACAAGTAAAAGTGTATAAACTAAGTTAATACTAATGGGTAAACATCACTATCATAACAACTGATTAGAATTTAGTTGTTTGAGATTATTAGAAGACATTCAATAAATCAAATAGTTCATGGCATTTGAGGGGTGTAAATTATCTCTTTAAACAAGAGAAAATAGGGAAACTGTAGCAAACAGAAGCAGATAAAAAAGTGTGATAAATACTCAAAAAGATCTTACTCTAGTGGGTGTTTTGCTAGTCGATTTCCTCACATGTGCAATACCACCTGTTTCTTCAGACAGATCTGTAGGTTCAATTCCTTTAAAAATCAAAAAGAAGTTTAATCAATTTATTACTAAATGTCTTGATGAAATTTTTGATATACTTAGATAATAAAATATTTTTTATCTAGGAAATTACCTGCCGACCATATTTTGATAGTTGTGTCCCAAGATCCTGTAGCGAAATGTGTTGGATTAGTATCAGAATTATTAGACAAGCGTGAAGCTATGGTCATCACAGTTTCAGAATGCCCACGACAAACAGCAGTACAATTAACTTCATTTGAACTAAGATCCCAGTGCCATATCTGAGCTGTTTGGTCAAAACCACCAGTTACAAAAACCGCCTCATTTTTGGTTTGATCTGAAATATTTCCATAGAAAAAGTATATTAGCAACCGAAGTTTGCTTATAATTAAACTGAAATCAAACATACGGCTCGAAAATTTTGGAAGAAAACTAAAGATAGCTGTTAATCAAAAAGCAATAGATAAATCAAATGTATTTGGAAAATGCTTGGAAGTTAATGACAAAGACGTTAGCTTATTTTCACATATTTGGCACTCTATGCTACAGAGATCTCTCAAAATTAGTAAATACACACAACAAAATAACGACACACAAGTTAGTAAACTAAGGTTTAGGTGTCATACACCGTAGAGAACGGTATTGAAGCTATTACTAGACTTTAAATTAGAGTAGGTTTGAACTTGTGAGGAGACTGTTTGTAAGCCTAATATCTAGTTAAAAAGATTGAGGTACGAAAGCCTTCTATTTCGGAAGCATTCTTTTATAACGCAACTACATTTTTCGTAATTGCACATTTATGTTTTTGAACAAAACAATGATAACGTATAATAACAACATTTGCCAGACATCTCATGTCACGGAGTCGTTAACATAGTTAACGAAATACATGGTTTTCTTAATTTTCACCAACAAAATGTAAAGCGAACTTGGACTACTGAGTGGTAGATTTGTACAGATAAGCAGTACCATCAGCCCTCAGACGAACACATTCTGAGGTCCGGGTACTTTGAACGCTAAAACGAACAAAGGCGAATAACAAAAACAGTAGGCAGAGCATGGGTCTTCTAGAGTTACTATCGATCCTAAACCCACACAAAGAAGGAGGGTTGGGCATGGGGTTAGCGACCCCATCCCGTAGAAAAACTAACCCTCTAAAAAAATAATCCAAAAAATTTAAACTCTTCCCTCCGAGTTCACAGAAGAATTATGACGCCTCATGATGAAAACCGAAATTTTTCGGAAGTCACGAGGCCGATGCCCCTTCTAACAACCACAGCAACATTCTTTATAGGTACATGGAACGTCCAGACAACGTGGGAGACCGGGAAGACCAGTCAAATAGCAATGGAAATGAGGGGATACAAATTGACAGTACTTGGAATCAGCGAAACTGATTGGACACAAGCTGGATAACAAAGGCTAGGTACAGGAGAGATGCTGCTGTACTCCGGTCACGAAGAGGAAAATGTTCCACACACTCAAGGAGTTGCTCTAATTCTGTCCAGAGAAGCACGAAATGCACTTGTAGGACGGGAATCTCACGCGTCCTGGATAATAAAAGCATCATTCAAAACGAAGGAGGGAATCACGATGGATGTTATTCAATGTTATGCACCCACCAATGATAGCAACGACAATGATAAAGATCAGTTCTACTCAAGGCTGCAACCAATAATAGGACAAGATGAAACTGAAACTAAAGAAACACTGGATAACTAGGGTAACAGCATTAAAAAGGTTAAATACAACCTACCTTCGAGATAATAGCAAACTCAACCAATTCAAGATAACTCTCGACAACAAGTTCCAAGCTACTCGCTTGCTCGTTGATATTCGCTCAGGTGCTGTTAACTTTCTGGCCTGAGTTTTTTGACAATAAACTGTAGTTGCTGCTTCTCTTTGCCTTCTGATTTTATGCACCGTTAAGATTGAAATTATAACGGTTATCAAGGTGAATGATTAACGAAGCACAGTACTACAACCTCATCAAGATACCAAAGAAGGGAGATCTGAGAAAATGTGAGAATTACAGAGGCATCACACTGTTATCAGTACCAGGAAAGGTTTTCAACAGAGTGTTGCTGAACCGGCTGAAAGACGCAGTAGACACCCGACTTTGAGATCAACAGGCTGGATTCCGTAATGATCGGTAGAGTGCAGACCAAATCCCAACACTACGGATCATCGTTGAACAATCAGTTGAGTGGAACTCGTCACTATACATCAACTTCATTGACTATGAAAAGGCGTTTGATAGTGTGGACAAAAGAACGTTATGGAAACTTCTTCGACACTATGGAGTTCCTGGAAAGATTGTCAACATTATCCATAACTCATACGATGGACTATAGTGGAAAGTGGTGCATGGAGGACAGCTGACAGGTGCATTTCCAGTAGGGACCGGAGTCAGACAAGGCTGTCCACTCTCCCTCTTCCTCTTTCTTCCGGTGGTTGACTGGATTATGAAGAATTCGACATCTGAAGGGAAATACGGAATACAATGGACAGCTCAGAATCAATTAGATGATTTGGACTTTGCAGATGATCTAGCCCTCCTCTCTCATACACACGAAGACAACTAATGTAGCAACAGCCTCTGCATCAATAGACCTCAACATACACAAGGGAAAAAGCAAGATTCTCAAATACAACACGGAGAACGCCAACCCAGTCACGCTTGATGGAGAAAGTCTGGAAGATGTGGAAGCATTCACGTACCTGGGAAGCATCATTGATGAACAAGGAGGATCGGATGCAGATGTAAAGGCAAGGATTGGCAAAACAAAAACCGCATTCCCACAATCGAAGAACATATGGTACTCAAAACAACTGTCAACTAACTTCAAAGTGAGAATCTTCAATGCGAACGTCAAGACAGTCCTACTGTGCGGAGCTGATACGTGGAGAACTGCTACATCCATCGTCTAGAAGGTACAAGTATTTACAAACAGTTGTTTACGCAAAATACTCAACGTTCACTGGCCGTATACCATCAGCAACAGCCTACTGCGGGAGAGGACAAACCAGCTTCCAGCTGAAGAGGAAATTAGGAAAAGATGTTAGAAGTGGATAGGACGTACATTAAGGAAATCACGGGACTGCATCATGAGGCAAGCCCTAAATTGAAATCCGGAAGGGAAGCGGAAAATGTGGAAGGACAAATAACACATTATGTCGGGAAATAGAGACAGATATGAAAAGGATAAATGTTAACTGGGAAGGATTGCCCAGGACAGGATTGGATGGAGAATGCTGGTGGGCGGCGTATGCTCCTCCACGAGGGGCAACAAGCGTAAGTAAGTAAAGGGTTGTCTAAAACGTTTACATCATAGATCTTAAATTGTATGCATGAAGGTTTTTCGGGGAATCTGAGTCACATAACTGGAAGCAAACTACAGAAAACACTGGATATAAGTATTATGCGGGAACGCAAAGATTAAGACTTGGTTGAAACAAACGGTGATAATGTCAATGAACTACTCGGGGCAGTGGACTTGAATGTATTACGGTGCACAAGCGACCTTGACGTTTCAAATAGAACTTTTTTCCGATAAATAAGATCAAAATTGCCCATGGCTTCTTGACAATCGCCCTCCGACAACATAATATCAAATAGTGCCGAGTCATTCTCTCTCGGCTCTCTTTTACGATTGGAAACAACTGGAAAATAATCCAAAGAGAATGACTCAGCGTTATTTGATATTATGTTGTCGGAGGGAGATTTTCAAGAAGCGAGGTTGAGTCAATTAGTTTTATGATGACATAAAATACCTAAAATATAAACATTGCTTCAAAGTAACAACCAAGTTGTATAATTTATATCAGTCACCACGACGTGACTATAAAACTTAGGCGTATTCCCGAAATCAAGCGATAAGGAATATATATGGGTAATGCACGATAATACTACTAACAGTTCAAAACAGCACATATGCCACCTATAAATGTGAGTCCTGGTAAATCCAAAATGATTCATAGCTATATTGAATTTACATATTAATATTACTACATATAAAGATGTTTATAAAATCCAAGAACACAATAGGAGACCTACTTAGACTGATCCATTCTACACATTTAACTTTTTCCTCCAACTCCAAAGATAATATGGCACTTTTGCTATCCAAGCTCCATATATGCAGTGTACCATCGTAACCACCTGTTAGAATGCTAACAGAAAACAAAATAAGTTTCAGCGAAAAACGAGGATAGTCGATATCAACCGTCTGAACACAGTGTGATTTGGGTATTATGATAATTTAATCTCTATCCTAAGTGATGAAGTGAGAAAACATAACATTTTAGTATCATTGGTGTAATTTAAGATGTGTCCTGGTGTATCCGTCATATATAAGCTAGGATGTAACTGTATACCGGCACATTTATTGATAGTCAGTCCGTGGTTTTAAATATCGCATTATTGTAGAATTATTTGAAGCTTTGGCCTAGTGGTTAAGACACCCAAATTTCAAAAATAGGTCAGAGGTTTGGACCACACTTTATGTAAGTCAGAAACCTGGTAAAACTACTAATCCACACAATGTGGGTCACAGTTAAATGAACGAAACTTTATTATGCGGACGAGTAAACACGGTCACTGTTATGTAGTCGGCTACTACTTTGTCACAGTTACAGTATACACCCACGCGATTAAGTAAATAACTAAACTATGGCTGCAACTTATTGAAGTATGAAAAACAATATATAAGCGACATAGGTATGTCTTGCTTATTAAGAGCACTAGATGGCCCTAGCAGTACGTTCCATACGTCAAGCAAATAACCTACTTATAAAGGCTACCCCATATATTTTAAGCCCATTAAAATATATGGGGTAGCCTTTATAAGTGGGTTATTTGAATGACGTATGGAACGTACTGCTAGGGCCATCTAGTGTTCTTAATAAGCCCATTAGCCCCCAAATGCCCTGATACGGCCGAGAGTGGGGAGAGTCTGCTCTCCCTCTCGAAATGCTCTCATATGGCCACGCGGATATATAGCCTCTGTCAGGGAAGTCCTACTCACTGCCTTCTCGTGGCGGGGGTGTTGTTTACGAAATTGGGAGGACGAAAAGCGAATGTCCGGCGCTTTAACCGGGTTGGTGGATGTGGAGGATCCACCTAGGGGAGCTGGAAAACCCTGATTCCAAACCAATGGTGCACATGAGCTCCAGGATCCTGAAGGAACGAATGGCGCATGAACCAACTGTTGGTCACCGGCTATCATGGGACTGCATCTCCTCACAATAATCCACTGCCTTGTGGACTAGACCTTCAGGTCAAAGGCCCCGGGTGTGGCCCCCTAAGAAGACCACCTGCTTCAGTCTGGGCACCTGGGCAGTATCACAGCCCTCACACAAATCGAATGAGATTTGTGAGGCGCATATTTATCTGGTGCTTCCTTGTACCAATATTTATGTGTTTAAATAAATAAGCCCATTAGCAGATAAAGTATAATTACATTAACACAAACAAGTAATCTACTAAAACTAAAAGTTAAGAGTCAAGAGTGTAAGACAACTATCTTTCCAACTCAGTAGTTACATTGTAGGGGTAGGGCAAAGCAGTATACTTACGGCCAGTATATGCTAATTTTAAAAGCAAGTCCAATATCTCATTGATACCATAAATGTTGCGGTTTGTCTAAATCAGTATAAGTAACGAAGATGAGTACTGAACGTAATTCTGCAAAGGCCCTACTTAACTGGACATTCGAGGGCTAATTATTTTTAACAATCTGCTGTGAAATATAAAACAATGAGGCATTAAGTAAACGAGTTGCTAACAATTACTTTACACATCTACAACTATCATCAGCTTGTAACCGAGAAATTCCATAAAATAACTCCCAAAAACAAATGTTAAATTAAAGATCACTTTTATGGTCTTAATTGTACAAGCTTATTGGACAAAACTACAAAACAATTATCAGCAGGAAGCATTAGCCGCATGATAACCACTTACTACTTGTCACAGCGTCTGATACAGCTGATCAAGTCATCCTGCACATATTCTCTTTCGTATTTTGGTGGTTCTTGTTTGGGACAAAACTCAATGTCAATGGTTTCCTAAAGCAATGACATCTGACTGAACAAGGACTCACGGATATAACTTCTTTCTCTGATAAGTATTCATGCAGAGTTGAAGTTAGAATCACATTATCCACGAGAAACGTAAATTCCGGATATGTCCTGGACTCTCTGCTTTCTGCACAATAATGCGTAAGAAAAGCATATTACCATCTAGCAGAACTTTGACTAAATTATTGAGTTCTTCAGTAGTCGTGTGTTGTGGTACCGCAATCGGTGCGGAAGGAACAGAATACCTTGAAGGTAATTCACAGGTTCATTGGAGACCTACTGTTTGAATTTCGTGTAAAAAGTGATTTGGACGTCCTGATCCATTAGTGCACGCCAAATCGTAGCACAGAAGCCAAATGCACCGCCACAAACAGCTATTATTTAGATCCAATTTCAAAAACAAGTAGTAAGTACAGAAGACCTACGGTTTGTTTTAGTCTTTTTCTACCAAGCTCTTGAGAGTGTCTTACCTGCTCTTTCATGAGTCGATTGAAGGGTCTGACACCACTTCTGTGGGCAACAGGTTCCGAAAATTCATGACTCACTGTGGAAATCTGTATGGCACGGATATTTTGTTCGTTACTGGCTTTTATACTCGCCTGCTATGTCCTCCAAGTTTTTCTGGCTCAGTAGAAACAAACAGAGAGGATGTATCAGTTCCGAAACTATTTCTTAGTATTCTATACATCAAAATCTGATCACCATTTAATTTTCTATAGGACAGAATAAAGAGATCTGTCTTCTTAAGCGGCCTTGTATGGTAAACCAAGGAGTCCCAGGATTGCATGGGTAGCCGCCCTCTGTATTTTTCCCAGGATATCAGAGTAACCTTTTAAACATGAGGCTTGAAGCCTAAATGCAGTTTTCAAGCTTAGTTTTCACTTAGGTTATGTATACTGTAGTGAACATAGTAGCATCTAACTTGGTGAATGTCCGTCTTAAAGCTCACATGGTTCTAGACCCCTTAGCTGCAACCTCCTGTCCGTGGGCCGTTGTCTCAAGATCATGACTCACTGTCACATCAAGATACTTGTAAGGCCGGACCACGGGTACAGGTAATTCTCCTATGCCTTACCTATTTACCTTTGTGTCGCAAAAGTGCATATAGACACACTTTGCTGCTTTAATAGGCACCAGACATTTTTCAGACCAACTAATCAAAATGTCTCAGTGTTTTTGAAGTGCTCATTCATCTGCGTCTCCTGATATTTCTCCCCAGATATTTACATCGTCAGTGTACAACAACATTATGGACTCAACAAAACTCAAGAGTTCTTTTACGTACAGTATAAAAAGTAAAGGACCTAAAAGAGAATCTCGTGGAACCCCATTAAGTTCTGGTTTCCAGGAGAAGCACTTAGAATTCATTCTTATTTTATGTGTGCGACCTATCAAGAAATCCGTCAACCATTTTGGGAGGGATCCGGCAATGCCTAGATTTTCCAGCTACATGAATAGTCTCTTTTTAACGCCTTATCAAATGCTTTGATGAAGTCTATGTAGACGAAATCCACAAATTTTCTATTATCTAGATCACTTATCATTTTCTCTCTTGATATGAGGAGATTTGTTGCACAAGATAAAACTTGTATGAAACTACCTTGTTCCCTGTATAATAAGTCAATGGTTTCCGCGAATGACGTTCTGGTATGTTAACTATTATTTCCACTATTCTAACTGCTGCAGCAGTGAGGCTGTCAGGTCTTTGTTTCGTGGATGTGGTTTCGATCTTCTTTGTTGAGTTGGAGTGCCAAATACATCCTTCTGGTTTATATACCGCAGATGGTTCACAGCATGAATATATTGTTGAAACAGAAAATATGAAGCCCACGGTTTCATCCAAGAACTTGAAATCTCTAGATTCCAACGTTGTAGTATGACCTACTGAAATATCGGTATTGGGGATTACTGGACACAAACTATCCATACTCGGACGGTGCGAATCGCTAATAAGAGATGACAATTCTTCATACATGCCTTGTGAGCTTTTAGCTAGTGAGATAGAACATCCCATACTGGGTTTCAAATATACGAAAAGGCCTATAGTGGAGTTGTGTCTATCAGTCCCTTTAGGAGATTCTGATGTTTTACCTGAAGATTTGGTAGCTGTGTGTTCCACGTGCAGCACGGAGATGAGGATTTAGCCTATAAAACTTCAACAACAGGGTGACCCAGTCTTTCATAGAAAACGAATGGGTCCTTATGGTCTTGGGGAAGCAATACATAGGAAATTGAATGGTTTGCGTGCGAAGTGTATGATTGAACCGATACAGTCTACAACATGTGGTACTCCTACTGTTACGCCGTTGAAATATGATGGCAAGAACCCTAGAATATGTGGTGATTACAGATTAACGCTGAACTCCCATTTGTTGAAGCAAACGTGCACGACAGTGGAAGCTGAAGATATTCTAAATCGACTTCATTGTTGTAAGACCTATCTTCATCTATTTCGACAACAACTAACACTCCTTCTGTTCTATTCAAATACAACTCCCTTCTGTTAGGTTGAAGTTATTCTCCAGCCATATTTCAGGAAGTGATGGATAATATGGTCAGTGATCTTAAAGGTGTTGCAGTTTGTAAAAATGATCTTATTGTGCTAGATTTTTATAAGTTAGCTCATGATCAGAACTTAGTTCTCTATTGCGTCGTTTAATCGAGAAGAATATTACGGTTAATCCAAACAAGTGTTCATTTTGTATGTCTAGTTTTGAATACCTTGGATACCCGGCTGGCAGTAATGATTTTAAATCAGATATTAAGCGACTAATCCCACCGAAAAATGCACCATCTCCGAAAAATCTTACAGAAATACGTCGATATGATAATTAGAAGTATTCCAGTTGTTGTGCGAACTAGAAATTCCCATCTTTACATGAACTAATATCCAATTGTCCAAGATTTGACTCCATTGCGACTTTAGTGTGATAACTAGAAGTATTTAATTAATGAACTAAGAATTTCCGAAGTAGTACAATTTAAAGCAGTAGAAATAGACGAGCAAAAATGAACGTATTACATTGGGAATTTGAAACGGCGGGGAATCAAATACAAAATAACTATCAGTTAGTGCAATTACCACAGTAGGAAACTTGAGGGGTTTTGGGGATTCTCCATCCTACTCATACAAACTTGAGAAGCATGAGCTACCAAGGCCTCAGTACTCAAAACAACGGATCCCAAATTCTATCACATCTTCACTTCCAAGTTTTTATCTTGAAAAACGTCAAGTGATTAGTCTGGTCAGATACAAATGTTTTAGTTACGAGTTTTATGTTAGTTACTCAACATGGTGTCACTTGTGAGTATTAAACTCACATTCTTTATTGGTTTTGTCTCATCGCCAACCTAATTACTGAGCCTTTTAACATGAATAGAGTGTTCTGCTAATGTTGTGAAGTCAGAAATAAAGAGGTTCGGAGACGTGTTTGGAAAGCTATCGATATGCCGAGAAGCGTTTGGTCTATACTGGTTAATATTTGCAACGAATGAGTAGCACGGCACACACAGTCGTGATCTAGTGTGGATGCTTAACCGAGCGTCTTCAGTTGGGGTGTGTCCAGTAATACTTATGAGGTCAGAGTCAGTGTTCAAGAATCACGGAATTATTTATTTAGGGGATTTACTTTCCGCTACGAACCTAACCAAGATATTACTGCATGGGAAAGTAATAGTGTTTAAAACAAATATCACTTTATAAAACTGCGATGACAGTGCATAAATAAAAAACGTGGTTAAACATGGTAAACATAATCAAACAATCTACTATATATCAACGAGATGAATAAACAGATGTAGTATAAACCATCAACGTTGATGATCAATATCGAATGATTGAAAGCCTACTCGAGTTAGACGGGAACGGTGTGACGAACCAGCTAACTTCGAAGTCACACCTGGTGGTCAACATCTAACGTGGATTACCGCTTCAACACATTACAGTACTATGGCTGCTCTGAAGACCGTATAACATAAAGGATATTATTATGGAAATATGTTGATAAGAATGAGTACAAAGAAGATAGCGAGACCACCACCTTATGCTCCAGTCCATGGTATACGATTAACTGATGCGCGTTTGTTGTCCTTGACTTTGACAGGGATCGATGATTTTTTCGATATTCAATGACCCAACTGCCGGATAATTTATCTAGGACTCAGTGATATTCCACTGCCCCTACAATAGTTTTCAAGGAATTAGTTTCAAAATGATTAAGTAACAGTATAGAGAATTGAAACAATATAAACCCTCAAGTCACGAGTTCCTTTGTTGTTAGTAAGAAGCATATCTTCCGTCAGCAGAATTCTGAAGTAGGATGATGATCACTGCTTATCGACGGGATTTTTATAAAATGTTTATAAACGATATGCGACAACTTACGGTGAAACTTTCATTAGCGTGAGATCAAACTGAAAATAGTTACAATGAATTACCAGTGTCACTTGTTTCTTATATTATCTTTCTTAGATGATGGACACATTGATATGTCGATTTCATGAATACCGAAGGTTATTATTAATGATTAGAACCGCTCAACTTTTATACAAGAAACGTATCTTATATGTAACACTAATTTATATAAAATCAAATGAAGTTGTATTTGGTAAGTGATTAGTAGATATCAATATTCTCTCACATGATAAATCATGCTTAAGAGTTATTTAGTGACTAAAGGTAATAACGACGTCATGAATTTAACAATACTTCAACACAAACCTAATAAGCTGTATGTTTTTATTTGCTTTATGTTTGGTTGTCTAAAATAACCAAATTACAATCGATTTAACTACTAGATCAGACTCCCTGTACTTTTGAAAAAAAGGTGAGTTATAAACGCATAAAGTGAATAAACTAATTAAAGAATTTTAATTCAGAGCTGAGGAACAATGAATCCTCAAAATACTCCGTAACATATAAGGCATACGCTAAACATCTCACCCGGGATTTTTTACCACCTTCTTAAAGTGTTAAAATGTATGATACATTGAGAATGAGTCAACAATCATAGGTCAAAGCAAAGTTATGGCTGAAAACATTATAGTAAGTTTAAACTACTGAATCGGACAATTAATTCAGTCCATTGCTTGTATAGTTTAAAAGTTCATGTTTTAAAGTTATTTAGTTTAACTCTTTCAGTTTCTTTTGAACTGATAATCCAAACAACAACCAAATACAGAAGAGCAAGTTACATTAAAAATACTAAGTCGACAATGATTTATGTTTGATGGTGTTAAAAATATCAAATGCTGGATGCTAACACTGGTCTAAAATTGGTTCTGAGTTTGATTCCTGACACGGTCATAGGAGTTCACTCTTGAGG